GCCTCCCCCATAAACAGTACATGCTATGCCAGTGCAGCTTCAGCCCAAATCCAGTAGGCACCTTCCAATCAGAATGCCAGCCCAAGTCCCCTGGACATGCCATAGGGTCCTGATGGAAAGTAGTGGGAAATAAGGCTTTAGGCACCCAGAATAAAAAAGCAGATAGTATACTTCTGGATGCAATTGATAATAAGGAGCTACTATAGACTCCTCAACAAGGAAATACTTGATACAGTGATATATCAGAAAGATTGATTTCCATGGAAATTAATTCATTACAAACATGAATTAAACTTTTCTAAGAAATAAGCCTAAATAATGAACTAATAACAATGAAGTGTTAATAATGAAAGAATTTTTAAAATTCCATTCTGGCATAATTAAAGGATAAATCAGTTCAAATGAAAGATGTCACTGTTATTAAAACTTCATTGATTGAATTATTTCTCATGTGAACAGAGTATATTTTTAAGATTATTTGACTATTACATAAATCAGTCATTTCCAGTTTTTGGAAAATTGATATTAATTCCTTGTTATTGAAAATGTTACTGAGTTATCGAACTGAGTTCTCATAGGCCACCCGATAGCCACCAGATGGCAACCTGAGTGGATGTCAAATCAGAAATGTAAGTTATGGACAGCCCCGAGACTAAGCATTGCCACTCACTCATCCCACGGGCTTCCTCTGAAATCATAACACACAAAGGCTTTCTACTACTTTGTAAATTCCATTTGAACATAATGAAATATGCTCTATTCACACTGCTTACAGTAATTAAAGTTTTCTTTTTCTTAATAAGAGTCTACCTAGAAATAGCACAATATAGAATGATCATTAATAGACCTGTTAAGGTACGTGAATAAATGCCTATCAAGAGCTCAGGCACACATTAGTAAATTTCCTAAAGAAAATCCATTTTCATTTCAAATTCTGACACTTTATTTAGAAAAATGACATTCTTTCTTTTAATTATTTCAGTAAACATAATGAGAGTGTTGCTAACTACACCTCAGAGTACTTTATTTTCTCCATTTTTTTTAGTAATATGAGATGACTTGTAATTAAAGGCGTGCTGCACTAATGATGCCAAAAGTCTCCAAGGGAAACATTTAATGTCCACCTCATAATATTATGCCAAAATTACACGCACAGAAGACTTTTTAATAATCTTTGTTTCCTAATTTAGTTTTGATTGGCTCTGAAATCCATCGCACCACTCAAGGGTTCCCATTTCTACAGTCATCAGCACTTCCGGGCCATAAATTGTACAAATGCACATGACTTTTTCTGTCTGTAGGCTTCTTCTCAAAGCTTCTATTTAACTTATCCAGAAAATTAGCTGCAGGCTGAAGATAATTGCAGATAATTTTGCCATTTTTAAGCCAGTGGTGTGTTGCATGGAAATATGACAGCTAAGTTTGCTTAAACATAATGAACAAGTCATAGCTTTGTGTTGTCCCTTCAGCTTTATACACTGGTTCAGATCATTCTATCTGCTCTTTATGCAAATTGAAACAAATTGTAGTCACTAGATGATCTGTGTCTTCTGACAAAGCTATGCTACCTGAAGAGTTTAAAGTGGCTGAAAGGACAGGATCTATACAAACATTTTATCCCAGCCTAAAAAGAAAAAAAAGTTTAGTACTCCCCTTCCTTTCAGATTCTTCTCCCTTAACAGAAACAGAGATCTTTTGTAGCCACCACGAACTTAAAGAAATATATTAAATTTTTTAAAAAGTATGATTTTCAGTACACACAATTCATACATATGTGGTTTTCCTCCTTATTCCATTGTCATCAATAGAAATGGCAGAATTCTCTTGGAAAACTAATGTTTATAAATAGTGGTACAATTAATATACAACAATTTTAAATTATTTGACATTGCAGATTTATTAAGTATGTCATCTAGGTTAATAAGCAGAGACTTATTGTTAAATGCAATCATATGCTCATTTTCCCCTAAGATTTCACTCTCTATTAAAATAAATGCTGCATTCATGGACAGTCACCAGCATGTAATGATGGAGCAAATCCAAAAAGCAGCAACACAGACTCTTAACGCAACACCAATGAACTTCAACTTAATATTAAATAAGTCAGCTATGGGAATTATAGGATATTTCTCTAACCAAATGTCCCGTCGGTGCTTGGAATTGTTATAGTCACAGCTAATAAGGGTGTCACTACCTGAGCAAGAGATTTCTTAAACCATCGTGCAGCAAACATTTGCATATAGGGACTAAGTATCGATTGTGCTTATGTGGCAGCTCCCCTGATGTAATAGGCCATAATGACTCCGAGGGAGCAGGTATGGATGCAAGTGTCAAGGAGGGGAGAATGTGTAAGTCATAACACAAATGACTTTATGGATCCCCATTAGACCTTGGGCTAAGGAGCACCTAAACAAGTCTGATATGACAGCATCCTGAGACAGTTTTACAGCCTTGTGTCAGGAACCCTTACACTAAAGAGTTTTATGGAAAATCCAAAACCGCAGAGAGGAAGTGTTGCTATGTTAGACCATTATCATTGACGTGGCATATAATATGCATACAAATAGTCCCAAAGTGTGCATTTAAAGGATAGATTATTAAATTTGTTATGCCAAATCATATGCATATTAAGGAATACAAATTAAGCATTGATAAGTAGCATCTTACAAAACATACACTTTCCCTTGGAAAGCCATTCTGCTCAATAACCAGTTTAAATCCACCAAGGTTCCCAAATATTTGCATCATACTAAGATGAAGCCTTTTAAAAGACTGTCCTGTGAGGTTTTGTGTGAATATATGAAGTACACATGTTTCTGCACCTGAGAAAGCTGAGAGATATCATTTTCATTCTTTTTTTTCTCATTTGGTCTCTAATATCACCTAGCCAGTGGGTTGGTAGGAATTGGCTTGTTTAAGGAACTGAGACCGTGTCTCTGTAAAAGGCAGGCATGGGAAGGTCTGTAATGAGTCCTTTCCCGCTCATTGTGGGACAAAGAGGCATGTAAAGACACCAAGTGAACTCTTCAAGTTGACGGACAGGCACAGTGCTGAACTAGCATTCTCTGGCCAGAGGCTGAGATCAGAGAAACTGCACAACAAATCACACCTTGAACACATCACACAGGGCAAGTGGAAACAGCACCCTGAGAAAGGATATTTGCTATTTTACCTAGATCTGCAAATTATTAAACAATTCCAGAAGAGGCATACTGTTACAAGTGTCATGTAAACCGATATAGAGAGCTAGACTACTCTTAATAACACGAAAAGTTGGCCCAGAACTCGTGCTCTGCTATATGTGGTGGAGGATTGCACAGCAATTTCACCCCAGATTTGCAATGAGATCTTAAATCTGACCTTTGACATGAAATGATTAAAGATTTTATATAAAACCAACAATGCCCTTCTGCTCCTTTACAGATTTACTATAGTTTTGCTAATGTGTTTGAATAAACTCCTCTGAAAATCTCTGGTTTCTAAAATGCAACTTCTTTGCAAAGCACATACCTGTATCCCAGAGAGACGAGTCCTCTCTTTGAAATATTTAGTCTTTCAGGGCACTTTAGTCATAGTGACACCTAATAGCCAAGCTCTTTTTCTTACTCTCCACAAAATCAGGTTTAGACTATAATTCAAACCAGTTCCCAAAGGCACTTCTGAAAAATGGCAAGTCCTTAGCTTTTAGGTGAAAACACTCTTTATTGCTCAAAATTGTTTCCTCTTACAAAACCTTTTCTATAGTGCTAAGTCGAAGATGATTTTATGCTAATTTAACTCAATGGGGACTGTGAACAGATGCTACATGATTAATAGTTTCACTATTCTGAAAATGCCAGGCCAGGTTCAAGATAATAAAGTCAGGTAAGAATACTATTAAAATCTGCCATACAATTATATCTGTTATGTGGAGAAAAATGGGATCACATTTCTTGCATCAAATAAAGACCCCCTAAAATAAAAAACAACAACATAAACCAAATGAACACATTGAATTCTTTAGCACATTAATTAACACCGTTTTAATCACCAAACTCTTTACTAATACCTTATAGGTATATTTTCAGCTATGTCTTTAGTGAAAATTCAGTGTGTCACTCTGGTCTTACCTTTCCACATCGCATTTAAATTTACACCCAGAAAAAGACTTGCATACACCATGAGAACAATGAATTCTGTAACTTGTGTCTTTAGTGAAAATTCAGTGTGTCACTCTGGTGTTACCTTTCCACATCGTATTTAAATTTACACCCAGAAAAAGACTTGCATACACCATGAGAACAATGAATTCTGTAACTTTCCTTATCAAAAGGGTAGTATCTGAATTTGTATGCCAAGGTCATTACGTTTCAGCAAATGTTTTTACATCCATCTTTAAAATACCCATAGAAAATAGCCACCCTTAAGGATAAGGGGCTGTGTGTGTTGGCAAATAAGTCTTTTCTGGAAAAGCTTCTTAGAAGGCTTCAGTCCCTCTCTCCCCTGCTTTTCTTCTCGCTAGTCTCCGAACCAAGGACTTCTAACCAAATCAGCTTCCTGATGAAGAAACCATGAGATCAAATCTAGCCTTCACTGTGAAATTTGGGACTGGCCTTACACATGTATGTGAAAAAACCTTTGTGTTTTTAAAACTGGTGTGCCAACAGATTTTATCCTTAACATAAAACATCTGACCTAATCATATTCCCAACCTCCTATCTGATATTCAAACTTCAATTGGACTTTTTCTTTTGCAATATATATATAGTTCACCTGCCTCGGTGAAACTTTTGGTTTGCAGGGAAGCAGAAAGTTCCAGTGCATCAATCACACAGTGCAAATTGTGATTCGAGGTAGTGCAAGCCTCCACAGAGAATGTGGAAGCTAGCCTGTTAACAGAAATCGGCCATTTACAGATGCAGCTCATTGCATAAATTAAGTCTTCACACTCACCACATTTGTATGCATACGCGATTAGGCCTCATTTATATAAAATATTCTATTCAAAAGGGTTGTCTCACCATTGCACAGAATGTCTCAGGAGGGTCTCCACAGGTAATATCCGGAGGATCCAGTTTCACTTTCAGGTATTTTGTCATGTCCGTGGATTCCGGCTGACAGGCCATGTAATCCCAGACTTTCCCTTCTTCTGTGTAAATCTGAGTCTTACACACGTCATAATGTCCCCACACCAAAGGGTAGGGCTGCATCACTGAGGACACTGTAACCCACAGGGCATGAATCGACAGGAATCTTGACAAATACATCTCTAAATTCTTTGTAATCTTGGTGGAAACTAAAGCAGAGTTTGCTTATCTGTGATGTGTCTCTTTTACATATACATATATATGTCTATATGTAGGTAGGTCTGTATACTTAAAAAAAAAATTTTAAAAAAGAAGAAGAGGAGGAGACCTCAAAGCAGATTCCAAAACCAAATGTGAAGGTTAAGATATTGTGCATGTTCAGGGATACTGAGGACTTTGGTGGAAGCCTAACATACTTGTGCATTAGACGTTAACAACAACTTGTAGGTTTTTCTTTGTCCTAGAACACATCTATTAGACTCAGGTCTAGTTTGGTTTTTGTAAAAGATGTCCAGTAGCAGATAATGATTTAGAAAAGTGATGGCTCTCCCACTGTACGTCCGATAACCCTGAGTGATCCTCAGTGCTCGCAGCTCACGAGGGATGCTCAGAGGGGCTGGGATATCAGTATCTGAAGCAAAAGGATGAGTGTCTGTATCC